CTTCCTCGCTCGAATGATCGAAGACGAGCAACCAGACTTTGTCGTCCTAACTGGCGACCAAGTGAACGGCGATACCGCACCTGACGCTCAAAGCGCGATCTTTAAATACTCTGAAATGTTTGCTCGACATAAAATTCCCTACGCAGGCATATTCGGTAATCATGATGATGAAGGAAACCTCAACCGCGCCGAATCAATGACCATTATGGACGGCCTTCCCTACTCCCTCTCCACCGCCGGGCCCGAAGATGTTGAGGGTGTAGGTAATTACGTGGTGGAAATCCTCGGACGGGGCTCTTCCTCTCACTCAGCGCTCACGCTGTACATGCTCGACACCCACTCCTATTCCCCCGACGAACAACACTATCATGGCTACGACTGGCTCAAACAGTCCCAGATTGACTGGTTCAAGAGCACATCTCAATCTCTGAAAAGGAAACATAAGGAATACACACATATCCACATGGACCTGGCGTTTATTCACATACCCTTACCAGAATATCGCAACCCAGATAATTTGGCCTGGGTGGGAAACTGGACGGAACCACCTACGGCCCCAGCCTACAATTCGAACTTCAAGGATGCCCTCGTCGAAGAAAACGTTCTCGTCGTCTCTTGCGGCCACGACCATGTGAACGATTACTGCCTGCCCGCGAACGACAAGAACAAGAAACCCGCCCTATGGATGTGTTACGGCGGCGGCGCCGGATTTGGTGGATATGGTGGGTACTACGGATACCACAGAAGAATGAGGTTTTTTGAGATGGACATGAATGAGGCGCGAATCACGACGTGGAAACGGCTCGAGTGGGGCGATGAAGAGACGCTGAAGAGACGGATTGATGAGCAGATAGTAGTGGATGGTGGAAAGGTCGTCACAGGCATGTGAAGCCAAAAAGGAAATCTTGTCACTCGGATACGACACCGCGGGCATGGACTTCTGTTTTTTGGGCAACTCACGATCAACAAGAATGTTGCTTTTCAATGCTGTTATATCATTGCCTGCCAAGAGATGTTTGTCACGACTATTGCATGTACAGTCACACGGCGTTCAGGGTTAAAGATCGGAGCAGGCTAGCTCACGTTGATTTCGAAGCAAGATACGGCCTAGGGTTTGTTTTGTGCTGGCCTTCGGTTCATCGAGATTGAGCCGCTCTATTGAAAATGGTATTGAGAGCTATGACGGTGGACAAAAGCATCGGAAGTGGTGCAATCGGCAGCGGCTGCGCAATGGCCCAAGGGAGGAAAGGCATGATACCCCATACCCTGTGAGAAATGTATAAGATCATTCTCCACCGTTCCATTCGGGCCCTTGTGCGTGTTGAATTCTCGCAGGTGCTTTCTGCGCCTTTACTCCTGGTTTCACCACCATTTCTCGCAAAGCACTCTCCCGTCCTCCATCCCTGGCGCTTTCTGCAGCAAAGCCACAAATTCGTCGGTCATGGTGGGCAAGCCACACACATACACAGCCGTGTGGGCTCTGCTGCCTTCAGGCCCGAGGGCGTCGAAGAGATCGTCATGGTTGAACCGCCTGTAGCGGGTTGCCGTATTGCCTTGTACGACGTCGTCTTGCGTCGTTCCGTCGGCATCGTCGTGCCCGCCGGTCTCGAAGAGTGTGTATTTGAAGTCGACGTGCGCGTGGTTTTCCCACTCCGCCGCTATGTCTTTCAGTCTCTTCTCGAACAGAATCTCTTCTCCCAGGCCGGTCTCGCCATTCCTTTCTCGCCTCGCGGCGTAAAGCACTCTGACGGTCCTGGTCATGCCGCCCAGCTTGTCCGCCCCCAAAACATGCATCGCGGAGATCATGCTCATGATGGGATTTATCCCGACGCCTCCCGCGACGAACACCACCCTGTCCAATGCCCGGCATTCTTCTTGGTCCAGCGTCGGGGGCGGATACACGAAATTCCCGCCCACGCGGAACGTCACGGTTGAGCCGAGGATCTCCTGGGCGGGTCGCCAGAGGTATGCTGCCGGTGGGTTTGACGGGGAGCACTGGATCGCCAGTTCTATGTGTGGGTCATCTTGAGATGGGGAAGACGCTTGAGGCGGCGAAGTGATGGTGAAGCCGCCCACGACATCGATGTTGGGGATGTACAGGTCCACGTATTGGCCTGGGAGATGGCGGAGAGGTGGCTACTAGAATGGTAGTTCATGTGAGCCGAGGAACAGTGTCTTCTTGAGGTATCAAGCAAAATATATCTGCTGCTCTGAGTCGACATTGGAATTGCTCTCGCAGAAACAAATACAGTAAACCATCGTGACGACAAGACTGTGCAACTGCCCAGACTAGAATGCAGGCAACGACTCAGGCTGGTTCGAGCAAATGTACATTTCCAAGGCACGCATTCCTCACCCAGAGTATTTAGGAGACATGGTCCAAACAAGACAGATAATAATATGACATGATAGGCAGAGGGAGACAAAGAGAAAAAAAAGGTCACACCTACTCCATCTCTTTGCAGACTCAATCTCAGCAGCCGTATCTTAGAATTGATGTGTTCAACCTTGCTCAATTGGGCTGTCCATATACCCCTCTGCCGGGGATCCTCGGCGGTCCTGATGATATGGGGCACCGAGTCTTTCACGATGGCCATTCTTCTTCTTGTTGTTCTCGAGCCTGTATTGGTAGGAAGACAAAGGAAAGGCGTGGTAGCAGTCCGGCTGAGATGCTGGATTGTTTTTGTTGGTTCGATGGTTCGCGCCCCACACGACAAGGATTTGGCGAGTAGGTTCATGACATGATGACTGTCTTTGGCACGCACACAAGGTCTAGTCCAACTCGCCTCGTTCTGAACAGGTCAGTGCAGGAACTTGGTTGAAGTTGCTCGTTGATTAGGAGTGGGAGTTAAGAGAGATGCGAGTGTCACGGTCAATGGTGAGAATGCGGAATGGCCCCGCCTGCGTACATTCACTGGCCCAGTGGTTCCCAGCTCTGCAAACGTAGCTCTGTTTGTGAACTTGGTGAGTTGATATCGACGAGTAATGCCGCTTGAAAGAAGGGGAAACGCTGGATCTACAATGTCTAAAAGTGATTGAAGAAGAGATAATTGCCATCGCGTTGGCCATTGTGAAATGTGTAGAAATTGGCTACAACAGCCGTTACTCAAATGGTCAATGAGAAACTCATTGCGCATAAATATCACCTTTTATTTCACCACCAGAGATCACAAGATATACTTCGTTCGTAGTACGAATCTATACCTTGTGTTTCATATCTCATTCCGTCTCCTTTCGGTGCAAGGCACGTGAAGGGCGACACGAAAAGCACGCCTACCGCCTGCGCTCTCAGAGGAGCTGCCTTCAGGCTGATGACATGTGCAATGATCCCTTCGTGAGCGACCATACTTTCATTTCTGGGTTTCTCGAGGTTGAGAATTTCTCAAACCCTTGTCTCTTGCTTTTTTATCTATTGCCTATTAGGCATTTGGTCCATAGAGGTACCTACGCTCTTGATCATGTCCCACCCAACGCCTGGTTCTAGTATGGACGTTCGCAGATGTCTGGCGGGTAGAGGTGAAGGTCTGAAGAGACGACCAACTGTAGAAAGTAGGTATAGTGCCATGAACTGGCAGCGTATGGCAGAAGAACCTGGGCAGCACCAGAAGGGAATGGTATCGAAAAATTCTATCGTGTCAGCATAGCTCCAGATATTTAAGTTAACATGCACGAGGCAAGCAGAAACCAGTGGTTCGCCTCAAGATTGTCTGATCAACATAATGAACAATAATTAAGTACTTCTTTCGACCGGGTGAGACCATACCTTTGTCTACATGAGCGTAGTGTGCATCTGTTGCTCAGGGTTGGGGCATCATGTATCACTCAGCAGCAATCCATCACATATGGTCATCAATTGGATCATGATTATTGGATGCACCAATGTGAGCTCCCAGGCTCCGATTATATGTTGATGGACTGGCAGCCAAGCGCCATATCAAAGAAATATGTCTCAAGCTAAGTGGCGACAAATTTTTCACTGGCGATGACATGCACCACGACGTCCATCAAACAAGCACGTAATGATCCTAAGCGAGCGTTGACTCGACCGCAGAGACCCTAAGGTATTTTTCTTGATGAATTTCCATTCGTAGCATTGCTTTCGAAGGTATATCAGGCCAGCGCAGGACGAGAGGCTGTAGCGGTGAGGGGCTGCAATGGGTGCACCCGAAGGACAAGGATAGGAGTAGGCGAGCAAGCGCAGCTGGTTGTCTTGCGAAGACGGGTCAGGAGCTTCCAGAAAAGATCGCCATGTAATGTGGTGAGAAGGTAATCTTCGTCGTAAACATTTTGATAATATATCTGGCGATATCTCGCAGGAGAGTCGAGGTGACGGGATAAGTTGTAGTTGCATCAAACTCGGCTGTTCAGAGCAGCGCCGAGATGCTCCAATTTAGTGGGCGGCGACACACCTGGGACTTTCTCTTCTCTCTCAACCTCACCCCTGCCAATACAACCCCCTCAGCACGATCCAGTCTGATAATGCACTCTGGTCAACCTACACTCCCTTTGCGAACGGCGTGGAGGATCAAGGGCGAGAATAGATCGACCTGGTCAGGTCAGCTGAAAGAGTTTGCGATATTAGTGGAGCATATCATACCACCAAGGTCAGGGAGGGCGCACCAGGTACTTGATACCTCTCACACCCACCCCGTCCACCTTGACCCTGACTATGCGTGCCATGCTAATGCTAGCCAGTTCCTCTATTGAAAGACCGACTTCGATCATTTCATTTACTTCCTGACCCTTCTTTCCACATATTGCGCTGGGCAGTCGGCAATATCAAATCACTCGTTGATGACCTTATGACTATACGGCGGCAGCAATAGCAATATCAAACACCAAAGAAATCATGTCTACCACAATACTCGGCGTTGATGTGGCCAAGGTGTCAATTGCGGTTGGTTCAAGGTATGCTGGCTTGCCTTGTGCGCTATGGTTGCAGCAATGTAATCATACTGGTGGTCATTTTGATACTGATCAAGCTCAGCCATGATCAAACCATGCATGATTATTCGGACGACGATTCTGTCATCAAGATGGAAGACGATTCGGACGATGCTTTATCCAGCGGCCCCGCCTCAATCTTGCGAAGCTTGCAGGTTGAAAGCGAAAACCGTGACTCTCCTAACAGCTCGATGACCTCGGGTTCTGTCACCTCTTCAGCCCCAGAACCAAAGACTAAAATCACACTCAAGATGGACATCAAATCCGAAAACTCGAACAATGTAAGCCCGTACATGTTCTTGAAAGCTTCGACCGCCTGCCGACCCAAATCGTCCATTCCTCCGAGGCTGTCCCCCTCCGAGTATGCCAGTCAGTGTGTGGCAGCGGCTGAAGCCTCGAGGCTCGATCCATATGCCTTGCATGAAGATGAACATAAGTTGTTGCAAGACAAGTTGTGTTATTCTCACGTCACGGTATATCTAAATATACGAAATGGCATTCTACGGTTGTGGACTCGAAATCCAAGCGTAAGCGTCAACCTTGATGAAGCGATTGGTTGTGCAAGAGATGAGAGATGGACTCGTCTTGCTTGCTTTGCATACGAATGGCTCGTGCGACGAGGCTACATCAACTTCGGCTGCGTTGAGCCACCCTTCATCAGCCGAAGTGTTGGCCGTGGCCGTAAGAAGGAAACATCACGAGAGACCATTGTAGTCATTGGAGGTGGCATGGCTGGTCTAAGTACCGCACGCCAGCTCACCAACCTGTTTCAGCACTATCCTGATCGAGCTCCTCCAAGGATCATAGTACTTGAAGGCCGCGAAAGGATAGGTGGGCGAATCTACTCACATCCGCTTACCAGCATGCGATCTTCCAGGCTTGCGCCTCATCAAAGGCCTACGGCCGAGATGGGCGCACACATCATTGTCGGGTTCGAACGGGGCAATCCCCTTGATGCCATTGTTCGTGGGCAGCTTGCTCTCGAATACCACCTCCTACGAGACCTCTCTACCCTCTACGACATCGACGGCACCCCCGTCAACGGCGTGAACGACGCAATGATTGAAAGATTATACAATGACATTCTTGAACGTACTGGTCATTACCGACTCAAACACACTGTCAAGAGAACTGCATCAGGTGACAAGGATCTAATTGAGGCGGGACGTGATCCTCCCGACGAGGATGGAATTACCATCAAACAGTTTGAAGAAGCTACTGCACTGGGCACAATCGACCAACTCCTGCCCAATAAGAAATCAAAACGTCGTGGCGCAGGTCACCGAGCTGCAAAAGGGGACAAATCCTCGGAGGAAGTGGATACAAGCATGGAAACAAAAATGCAACTGCCCGCTGCCCAAGCAGCCAAGGAGTTTGGTTTTCTGTTGCGAAAAACAACCCAGATGCATGAGACGCTAGAGCTAGATGGTCTTGCATTGCAGCTCAACCAATCACTAGGAGCTGTCATGAATTCTGGTGTGGACCAGTATCAGAAGTTTCTTGACCTCAAGCCCTATGCCCTCCGCCTGATCAACTGGCATTTTGCGAATCTCGAATACGCAAATGCAGCCAATGTCGACAAATTGAGCCTCCGCGGTTGGGACCAGGACATTGGCAACGAGTTTGAAGGAGAACATGCTCAAGTCGTTGGTGGCTATCAGCAGGTCCCGCGTGCATTGTATCGCTTTCCAGAGCCACTTGATGTCCGAACACGCAAGGCTGTCAAGAGCATTCGATACAGCGCCGCGGGCTCGCAGGCGAAAGCAACCGTCACCTGCGAGGATGGACAATCAATTGAAGCGGACAAGGTTGTCTTTGCTGCTCCGCTTGGAGTGCTGAAAGACCAGTCGATCCAATTCGATCCACCCCTGCCTCAATGGAAGCGCGACGCTATCAGAAGGATGGGCTTTGGCCTGCTCAACAAGGTCATCCTTGTATTTGAGAAACCTTTCTGGGACATCGGTAGAGACATGTTTGGTCTTCTTCGAGCTCCTCGCAACGGACAAGGCAATCATCAGAGAGACTATAAAGAAGGGCGTGGTCAATTCTACTTGTTCTGGAATTGCATTGACACAACCGGACTTCCCGTCCTCATTGCTCTCATGGCTGGCGAGGCGGCACACGAAGCGGAAAGGCTCAGCGATGAGATCCTCGTTGGACAATGTCTTGAGCAGTTACGCAATGTTTTTGGTTCGACGAACGTTCCCATCCCCCTAGAGTCAATCGTTACTCGCTGGGGATCAGACCGTTTCGCTCGAGGGACGTATTCCTACGTCGCAGCCGAAGCAAGGCCAGGCGACTATGACCTCATTGCTGCGCCTATACAAAATCTTTTCTTCGCTGGCGAAGCCACCATCGCAAGCCACCCGGCGACTGTACACGGTGCATATTTGTCCGGTCTGCGGGCTGCGCATGAGGTATTTGAATCGATTGCGGGACCAATAGCCATTCCGCCGACCCTCGTGCCCGCGGCCAGCACAAAGAAACCAGCAGCTCCGGTGGATCTAAAACTGATGGATACCCACATGGTGGTACAAGCTGGCAAACGGAAAGGTGACGAACTACTTCCCGCAGGAACCTTCACCCGACCTGTAAAGGAGAAAGACAATGCCCTGCACGAGGCCTGGGACGCAGCCATGTGGGTCCGGATTTATGATGACCTGGGCCCTCCACCGGTCAAACCACAAAAAGCCAACGTGAATTCTTTTCTCCTGTATTCTGGAGAGCATTGGGAAGAGGTCAAGACACGTCTTACAGAAGACCGAAAGAAGAGCGGCAAGAAAACCAAGCAATCCGAACGGGATCAGGTGCGAGTTGAGCTTGGGAAGATGTGGGCCGCGCTCTCGGACGAAGAGAGGAAGCCATACACCGACCGCACAAGCAAGAACCGGGAAGAAAACGACAAGGCCATGAAGGAGTGGTCCGTCAAGGCGGCAGAATGGGATCGGCGCACGTGGGAAGTCAAGGACGTGTGGATAAAGGAAGGCAATAGTTTTGAGGAATTTTGTAAGAGGCAACGGGAGGATGAGGCGGCAATGGACGCCGAAGCTGCAAAACGAGCAAAGGTTTAGGGTCACTGCATTAGATACGTAGGCATCGTTACTGGCATCGTCCCATGGGGCTTGAGAGATCAAAAGGCTGAATGATCTCGCTACGTGGAAACCAGCCTGTGATATCCTGATATGAGCGATATGCGACATCAGGGCTCTCAGTGCTTGATAGGGGTAGTTTCCTGCTACATCTGAGTAGACACACAGTCAATCATCGTTCTATATTGCCGAGTTACACTCATGGTACGATGTGCAGAATTCAGCCTCGCGCCGCCTGTGTACAGCCTTGCCGGGTTTGTGCGTTGCCGATATCGGGCGTACCCCAGAATAAGGAATTGGCGTCATTGAGCCGAAAATGGTGGGGTTACCAGGATTGACTCACCAGGTGTGTACCAAATAGTAGCGAAGTCCTTTACATTTGCTTTGTACAGTAGTCCAAATAGACAAGACCATCCCCATTCAGGATATTCCGCACTCAGGATTTGTATTCACTCGATCCAGGGTGGTTTGTCGGGACTCACCGATTTCTTCTGCTGCTGTCTCGGAGTGTCTGACACCATCTGTCTGTAGTTGTCTCACTTCTTTTAACTTTCAGGCGGGACATCAGCAACTTCACACGAGGTGTCTCTTCCAACTTATCCGTCGATATAGGCTAAAAAAAAAGAAGAGGGGAAGAAGAGACAAAAAGACAAGAGACAGAACAAGACAGGACAGGACAGTGTAAGAATGGGCCTGTTCTTCGAAACATTACCCCCTTCGCTCCTCCCGTGGCTTCTGGAGCAAAAGGTCTTTTACATCGCCTCGGCCCCTTTATCGGGCGACGGACACGTCAATGTCTCCCCCAAGGGCGTCTCGGACAAGGGCGGCCCCTTCTTCGGCGTCATCAAGGAACCCAAGAACGGCCCAGTGGTCGGTGCGGCGCGCGGTGATGGCACTGACAACGCCAATGGCAACGACGAGGAGAAATCGGCAAACGACAACGACAAGAACGTCGTCATCCGCAAGTTCTGGTACATGGACCTGACGGGCTCGGGCATCGAGACGACCTCGCATCTGCACGAACCGGGCAACGGGCGCATCACCGTCATGTTCAATGCGTTTTCGGGTCCGCCGCGGATTCTGAGACTTTGGGGTAAAGGTACGTAACATGTCGTGTGCAAAGTTATGGATGGTATTTGAATAGAGAGGACGTGGATCGACAAGTATCAGAACCCATAGAGGCCCTTTTGTCTCGTCTCTTTTCTTTCCAGTCTGAGAGAACTCTCCTCCCCCCCCTTCCCTCGTCTGCCCTCATTTGTCTGGTCTGGATAGCGTGGAACCCACTGTTCTAACCATTTCCCCTTCATTGCCACCCGTACAGGCACACCCCTGGAATACGGCACGCCCGCATTCAATGAGATCGTCGCTTCACAAAAAATCACAATCATCCCCGGCACCCGCTCCATCATCTTGGTCGACATCCACCAGGTCGGCACGTCGTGCGGCTTCTCCATGCCGTGCTACGAGTTTGTCAGCTTCCGCCCGACACTCAACGACTTTTTCGAGAAGCGCGTCGCAAACGAAAAGGCTGGGAAGAGGGAAGATGGGATTGAGAGGTTCGTTTTTGTTCTGTCGTCGTCGTCATCACCCCCCCTCGTGTTTCTCTCTCATGTTGATCCCATAACGGTGCCGAAAACTGAAAGCTGACACGTGCACCCTCGCTCGATCTTACGACAATAGGTACTGGGCGCACAAAAACGCGTGGAGCATGGACGGCCTGCCGGGCATGCAGCGCGGCGTCAAGACCGCCGTGGCCGAGGACGTGAAGCCGATCAAGAAAATGGTCGGTCCGTACGCGCCGGGGTCGGTGGGAAGGTCGCAGAGGCCGGCTGGCGCGTTCACCCCGGGCCATCTGATCCTCGTGGCCATCCTGAGTTCCCTGACGACCGCCATCGTCCTTCTGATTCTGTCGAGAGTCGGGAATGTCAAGGTGCTGGTGGGGAGAGGGGTTTGGACATGACTCCCGCGATGGATACGTTGGTGAAGGAAGATATAACAGGAAGAACAAGCCGAATTGTCGGACAGAAATCAAAGAGGCAGTGTGAAAAAGTGATCCAACCTTTGGGCAGACATGTTGCTGCACAAGGGTAATCACAACTAATTGAATATAAAAACTATCAAACTCCCGCTAAAGTCAAATACCCTACAGAATGAAAAGAATAATATCCAAGATCTTCCCAAAACTGTTGTCCTAAACCCTGAACAGAGAGGGAAGATTGCCGCGCTGGCTCTTTCCCCTACCCACTCTCAGAGATATATTGACAGATATTGCCACCTCATGCCGAGCTGCTCAAAGTATTGTCGGTCGCCCACGTGACGGTGGGAAGGGGTGTCCTGCACTGATCACCGCACCGACTTTGACAACCTTTGCGACTTCGATTCTTCGAGACGCGAGGTGATGTCCATCCGGATTTAAATCGTTGAAGCCGTGCCTTTGGTGAGCAGGTGCACGAGGCTGGGATGGGGGCCAATGTGATCTCATAGCGTCGACATGCTTCTGAGAAAGTCCCATTCGGGATGCAATTCTCTTCTGAAAAGCATGATACTCGCGTGAACTGTTGATCACTGGACCTCTGTGCCCATGGTGGGGGGCTAGCCAAAACCCCCATGTGTGGATTTCTGGCGTTCAGCCTTTCTTGTTACCCGATTCGGCATTGTCCTGCGTCAATTGGCACACGGTCACCGCGTTCCTACCCACCCATTCCAGCTCGTAAAAGAGCGAATTGGGCTTATCTCTGGAGCGACGTAACATGCGGTGATTTGGATTGGGCATTTTGCCGGCCTTCTTCTTTCGCTGGCGCAGTGATTTCCGTTCGATTCGGCCGCGAAGAGTCTTGGACCCCCCAAATAGATTTTCATTGAGGTACAGTTTGTAGCGGTTGCTTTCGGAATTCGGGTCAGGAGTGTGTTCTGAGGTTGTCGAGTCTTCGTCACTGGAGGGAGGTGTGGGGCTGAGGGTGGTACGCTCAAGTTCGCGTGGGTCGAGGAGGGCGAAGTGTCCCTCGAGGTAGAGGTTGTAAGAGTTGCGTCTGAGGAATCTCGGGGTTTCTCTGGTTTGTTCAAGGGCGTCTAATCGTGACTGAAGCTGGGTGGCAAAGAGGTGTGCTGTCTTCTCTTCCAGGAAGCCACGGATGCCATCGTCGGGGATGGCAGACGGCGAACGCGTCCTTTCTTCTCGCCAGCCACTGTCATCTAACATCGGGTCGAAGTGTGCAGTGGCATCAAGAGTAGAGGGAGTGGTAGAGTTGAAGAATGGGAGTTGTCGGTGTGATGAGGTTTAGCAAATGTCGTTGTCGCACCCGCCCAGTGGCTGGGCGGCACGTGCATCGGGTGCCAAGCCGGCAACAACGGGAAACTCCGGTTCTGGCCGAGCGCAAATGAGACTCGATTGTCCATCACGAACGAGAACAACGATTGACTATGCAAATACTCAAGGTTACTGCTCCAATCCTGACCCCTTGGTGCGCCGTCGATGCGTGCTCTCACTGATCCACGGTGCAAGCATATATATCACGCCATGGAAATGATGCTGAAGAGATAGCCAGGGGTATTCACCCCTCGTGGTGCGTCTGCCTATTTGCACTTGACGCCTTTTTTGCGACCAGGATTACTATATAAACACCGGTGTCCCCCCGGAGACCACGCTCGCCCCTCTCGTTCCTGGGCATGCCATATGCATAATGGCTGATGCGGACAAGGAGGGTTCTGAAACCCTACCCAATACGCCAGATACAATTCCCCTGGATGACCACTTCTTCAGCCCCAGGACCCGCGCAAGGCTACAAGGCGACTTCGCTCGTCTAGTCCCTGTCAATCATGCGGCAGTGCTTGCATTCCATTCCATTGCTGAACGTACGAGGCTTGAACCTGATTGGAACCCTCACATCCGGAAGTTCCTTTTCATCGAAGAAACCCCCCGGCAGCTCTCTCCTGAATGGGATGGTAGTGATGTTTCTAGTGATACAACAGACGGGCACCCAGCCCAAGTGTTGATGGGCTACTACCGACTTAGCTTGGAGATTTTGACCAACCACGCTAGGCTGGGCTGGGTGATTGGGAGCGGCAGAAAGGATCTCGTCAATGGTGGCGTTGATTTCCTGTTGACCCTCCAGAAAAACAGACATCATGTTCATGGTCGACATGCTCGGCTGGTCCATCATGCTCAAAATGGTGCACTGATGCTCCATGTCGGCAAAGGCAAGGTTGTTCAGGTCAACGGTATTGAACGACTCGAGGGCTCGCAGCGAGTCCTTGGGTCAGTGCGTACTGCGCTGTCCTTTGGCAACCTCTCCTACAATTTGGAGTTTACCGGATTGAATGAGAATAACTATCGGGAAAAGCTAGGAGAGCTGTTCACAAAGCTTCATCCTGATGGTGATGTGCCTCCCATGTCTCTGGAGCTGACACCTCTTGAGCACCACCACGAACTGCATGGGTTTCTGATACATTCCCCCTTTGCATCTGGTGCCAGTGGTGTTGTGTCGGCCGGATTCGAAAAATCTACCGGTCGGGCCGTGGCAATCAAACGTGTCAAGCGTACACCAGCAACGGTCGCGCGAATCCAACTTGAAATCCAGATCTACAAGAAAATAGGAAACCATGTAAGTTTGCCCGTCAATCTGTGAGTTCCATTTACTTACTTAGGAAGCCAAACCTCTGCCATTTGATGGCTGATCTTTATTCGGGAGGCGACGAATACAGCACAGGCAAGTCCAAGATCAATGATGTATACCTGGTTCATTCTCCACTGGCCAGACAGACATTCCTTGACTTGACCCTTTCCAAAAGGCCGTATGATGTTCGCATGTCTGCCTTCCACCAGGTTTTGAAAGGGCTTGCCCATCTGCATCAACATGGTATCATGCATAGAGACTTGAAGCCCACGAATATGATGATCGTGTCGTACTCTCCTGTACACGCAATCATTATTGATTATGGGAGCGCTACCTTTGACGCCACTTCAATGGATCACTACTGTGGGACAATCGCATATCTTGCACCGGAAGTCCTCAAGCTCAAATATCAGAGTGAGAGTCTGAACCAGGAGCCCTATGATTGCCGCGTGGATGTTTGGTCCATGGGACTTTCGGGGTATCAGCTTTTCTTCCAGGAACATTGCCGGTGGGAAAAAGGTGTAAGCACCGTCGCTCATCAGGATATCATACGGAACTTGAAATCACGACCAGCCTCTATTGCTGATGTGCTTATCAAGATGCTTTCGTGGCAGAGTGCGCAACGTCCCCATGCAAACGAGCTCCTTCAGTCAAAGATCTGGCCCAAGACGATCGGCGATGCCGAAGCCCCAAACATCGACAGCTCCGCATCTTTACATGTACACAAACGGGTGAAGAGGTGAGGTGTGGACTGGCAGGATTTCCAGCTGCGCGAAGCTATCTTCGTTCGATGCTTTCAATGAGCGTGACTGGAAGTTGTAATTGCAAAAGCAAATCCCCAAATTTAGACGATCACAGCAGCCGTTTAGTCTGCGTGCAGACTACCTTTGGTGGATGGAAGGTGATTCTTGACGTCTACAAGCAGTCAACTGGGCACTACTCCAGGTTCCCTGACATTGGGACAACCCATGCGTCCCCTACACATTGGCCCCGTGTTGTCACACGTGATAGGGGCATCGACTTAAGACAGTTGCTTGTGACGATACCGTGCGGTCAACAGCGGCATAGCTTTCACCATACCTGGCGACAAGCTCCGGGATGGATGGCTTGATTCAAGGTTACAATTTCTATATCGAGCACAACAGACGCTCACAAAAAGACCACAAAATTGACGGATCAGTTCCGTGGGTACAACAAATCAAGTATTGCCAGTCCTCAATATATCAGGCGCCGGGTAGAGCAGAGCAAGGAACGGCATTATACCCCCTCGACATTACAGCCCAGGCGGAGGAAACTTGATGCCAGTGAGGATTGACCGACAAGTCGAGAAACTTTCTACCGTGTTGCTTTCCGTATACCTTTGGACAACATTGGTGGAATCTGAACCGTCATGTCTGAGACTGACTACCTATACTGTATATCCCTACCCCTATCCTGTGTCTGGGGGATGTAGAGGTAGCGAAGAAGGAGAAGGAGGGAGGGAGGAGGGCTTAAATGCCGGCGATGGACCATTCAGTATACAGACAGACACACAGACAGACAAACCCATACGGTGCGTTGCTGAAGCTGCTGGACCTAGTAGGTAGTCCCATACATACCTAGGTACCTTAGGTACTTTTTTCCGATGGCAACGCACTCTCTGCCGCGTGCGAGGTAGAGAAGCGCCTTACACATGTCGTTTCTCAGCCAGGAATCTGGATGGATGCTACATGTTACAACGGAAATGGGAGAGTTGTATAGGAGAGAGAAAAGAATACAATATAAAAAGTAGAAGTAGAAACTGATCACTCCCAAAACAAGTAAAGCAATTTGTCTCGGTAGAGTAATAGAATCCTTCTCCTTTTCATATTTCGCAATTCATCGTCTCCCAAGTGGTGGCATGTTAGAGGAGAAAAAAGTAAGGTATAACGTGTAAGGTATGTGTTTTGAGAGAGGGAGTCCTCGAGTACACAGCTCGACAACTCGACAGCTCGACTACCTATAAACGACTCTTCAACTCCGGGCCTGGCCACCAGTCGGGCAGATTCTTCAAGGCCCAGCTGGAAATGCCCGAGTTGACCTCCTCGGGACACTCGAGGTTGCCCCAGTGGCCGGCGCGGATGACGAACTCGGTCAGGTGGCGGCACTTGTCGCGCATGGACTGGGTCAGCTTCGGGTTGTCCACCGTCTGGCACACGGCGTCGTAGGCCGTGTGGATGAAGAGCACGGGCATGGCCAGCACGCCGTCGTCGACGCTGCGCTCGAGCGTGTACCGCCGGTTCGCCCCGTGGTTGAGGTACCACGCCGTGGCTCCCTTCCAGCCGTTTTTCTGCGCGCCCGCGATCAGCGCCGCGTAGATGTCCTGGTC